GGCATAAAACAATTTAGTGATGAGCGTTTCCACATGCCAAATGCAGTCAGAGCCAGGGGGGAACTAAGGGTATGACAGGTTCTGAGTGACAAAATAAATGGCATTGTTAAATATGAGTACCAGGTGGGCACTGATTTCTGAGTTATTTGTACCATTTGTCCTGATGTAAGCCATAAAACAGGTTGGCTGCTGACCAGAACCTGCAGCTGTGTATAAGAGATGTCTCTGCACAAGCACCAGACAACAAAGAGTGATGAGAGGTTTAAAGTTTTTTTATAGTTTTATATATGAAACAGAAAATAAAATTGTTGATGTTATAGGCCTGGGGCCAAAAATGCCGACATAGATCGACCTAGCTGGGGCTACAAAAATGGTTTGCATTCCTAAGAAATGTCTAAGCATTAGAAGTAAACAGTTAAGTTTTAAAAGGGTAACTTACATGCATATTTCACACACTGTCATCTTTATGCTCTCTAGTGTCTGAGCACTTCCTCGCTTCCTATGATATTGACTGCAGTTTGGAAATCAAGAAGGAGGTGGTCCAATGCATGGGCTCCTTCCAGGATGGGGTGGCCGAGAAATGTGTTGATTATTTCCAGAGATTCCGACGTTCTACCCATGTGACGCCCAAATCATACCTCTCCTTTATTCAGGGCTATAAGCTCATATATGGAGAAAAGCATATGGAGGTACAGACCCTGGCCAACAGGTAAGTGTGATGTTCATATACAAAGCTATATTAAAGCCGTGGCTCTCGACCAGGGACAGATTTGCCCTGGTGGATATTTTGCAATGACCAGAGACATTTTTGTGTGTCACAACTGAGGCGGCAGGGCAGGGGAGGGGTACTGCTGGCATGTAGTGGGTAGAGGCTTAGGGATGCTGCTAAACTTCTTGCAGTTCTTTTCCGTCACAACAAAGAAGTATCCAATCCCAAATGTCTGTGGTGCTGAGGTTGGGAAACCTTCCTCTAGAGCCTATTGACTATTCCTTGCCCAGTAGGATAAACTATTGCCAGGTTTTTATGTGGCCCACTGCTTTCTATAATATTGAGTGACTTCAGGATAGAAGTAATAGACCTGGAAGGGAGTTGCGAATGCAGACATCCCCTCTTCCCTCTTCTCACCCTTCTCTTCCCATCCCTTCTGAGTGACTGAGAGGGAAAAGCCAGGTTGATGCATATGTTCACTGCCTAAGGAGCATCCCTGCTTCCCTGAAGTTTCTTCCAAATGTCACTGCTCTGCCCTATGCTTTTCTGAACAATCAGATCATCTTCCTGAGCATGGCTAGAATGAGCCAGGGTAAGGAATCCCTGGGTGGGTGGTTACATGAAATGACTCTGAGGGTTCCCATCTTTAAGGTCACGTTATTTCAGGTTCAGGCAGGCAGCTAGTTCCTTCCTACAGCTGTTTTGATGGCTTTAAATTTGTTTCTTAAGCCCACATCATTCTTCTTTTAATTTCTTTAGTCTCTTTTGAAAAAACAGGCATTATTTTCCTTCTTCCATGACAGGGCTTCAAGCATTTGAAGTCTATCGTCATTTAGCGTAATGTCATTAAGTATGTTTCCTGCATGATACAGATTCTAGCCTCATGGTTCCTAATTTCATGATGCGTGTTCTAGCAGGTTCACTGTTCTTGCACGAGGTCTGTAAAGAACATACGCATTATCTGTCTAGAGTCAAGCCTGGACCTGTATCCTTTTTGCTAAGCCCTCTTGGGTTTGCTACTTGCATACATGCAATCTTCAGATATAACCATTACTACTCACTAGTGGACCAGTACTTGAAAATGGCATCCGAGTCCTACACATTTTAACATTGTTTGCTTGGATTTTCAATCCCAGAATGAATACTGGATTGGAAAAGCTCAAAGAAGCTTCAGAGTCTGTTGCAGCCTTGAGTAAAGAACTGGAAGTGAAAGAAAAGGAGCTACAAGTGGCCAACAATAAAGCCGACACGGTGGGTGGGCATTTACGCATGTGCCACATTCCTTTTGAATTCCAAGTTCACAAGTGTTAATGGTCTATGCATATTCAGTGGCTTTAACTATCAAATTATACATTACTTTCCATTGGAATAAAGTACTCTTAATCTTATGTATAAAAAACTGGGTGAGTGGACAAAATCAATAAATCAAGGCAAAAATGTGCATTTTCAGCTGGATGTTTAATACTTTTTGACGAAGTATTGTTTGCTTTGTATGGAATTAGGTCTTAAAAGAAGTGACAATGAAAGCACAGGCTGCTGAAAAGGTCAAGGCTGAGGTACAGAAGGTGAAGGACAGGGCCCAGGCCATTGTGGACAGCATCTCTAAAGACAAAGCCATTGCTGAAGAAAAACTGGAAGCAGCAAAACCAGCTTTGGAAGAGGCAGAAGCTGCATTGCAGGTACATCTATGTGATATAACAGATGTCAACTTTAGGGCCTAAGAGGCAGACTAAGGCTAAAAAGATTAACAACAGCAAGGAAATGCTCTACTGGTTCAGACCGAAGCGCTATCCACTGGAGTGATTTCAAGTAATATTTTCTGCCAGAGACTTTATTAGCTCTTTATGGGTTTTGCATATTCTACTTAACATCTCACTCTCTTCACTCATCAGTGTTGGGCAGTGCCATATACTGGTGGTCGAGAGTCCTGAGTCCTCATTTCAACTCTGTCGTCAATAAGCTATGTAATGCTGGAAAAGTCACATCAACTTTCTAAGACAACATTCCCTCACTCATTCATTGAGGCCATTGGAGTAGATGATCTGTAAGATACAATGTTTTCTGTCTATGAATTACCCAAATAAAGAACTACTGATCTGATGTAGCTCATTAATGAGAGAGTTTGAGCAGGCTTCCAATGCAATTAAACAGTACAATTGTGTATTAGTCTGTGTTCACACTCTATAAAGATGTTACCTGAGACTGGGTAATTTATAAACAAAAGACTCACAGTTCCCCTTGGCTGGGGAGGCTTCAGGAAACTTACGATCATGGCAGAAGGTGAACAGCAACAGACACCTTCTTCACAAGACAGCAGGAGAGAGAACAGGGGAAACTGCCACTTTGAAACCATCAGATCCCCTGAGAACTCACTCACTATCATGAGAACAGCATGGGGGAAACTGTCCCCATGATCCAATCACCTCCCACCAGGTCCCTTCCTTGACTGTGGAGATTACAGTTTGAGATGAGATTTGGGTGGGGACACAGAGCTAAACCATATCAAACTGTGTGGCAATACACCAATGGCAAAATTACAAAGGAGGCTGGAGTTTGAGAAAATGAAATGAGTTTAGTGAACTAGGCCACACCTTAAAGGCTGGTCCAGTTTTGAAGACTCACTTTTACTAAGAGAGTTCCAGGTATGTACGAACGCTAACATTTTGACATCAGGTTACCTAAATCTATACAACAAATAAGATAACAAATCTTGTGCAGAGAATGTGTCTCTTCCTATCTTGATATTAATCTGACTTTAACCAGCTCAGAGCAAAAATAAAAAATATCTCCAGATGTTAGATAACTGTTCTATTATTGCCACAGCATATAGGAGATTATGTAACAGTCATATTTCTTGGCCTGCAGAAAAAAGAGGACTTTAATGCTTAGGTGAAACAGGTTGAGTTTTTGTTCCCCTCTCCAACTTCTTTTACCTGGGCATCTAACACAGCTGAGCACCATTCTGTTTGAAAATTATTTTTAAAGCTAAAGTAAAATAAGCATGCCTGGCCCTTACATTTTATATAACTTTAATTTGACCCTACCCTACTTTCCTCACTGTCTACTGTTCTATTTTTCTCTTTTCTTTTATAGCTGCACCCCTCAAATAAAGGTCTGTTTGCCATTTTCAGTTCCCTACTACACATTCACCCTAACTTCCAGCTGTCTGTCTTTCATAAATGCTAGTATTAATATATTAAAACAGACAGGGCTTGGTGGCTCATGCCTGTAATTGCAGTACTTTGGGATGCCGAGGTGGGCAGATCACCTGATGTCAGGAGTTTGAGACCAGCCTGGCCAACATGGTAAAACCCTGTCTCTACTTTAAAAAAAAAACAAACAAGAAAAATTAGCTGGGCATGGTGGCGTGTGCCTGTAGTCCCAGCTATTCAGCAGGCCAAGGCACAAGAATCACTTGAACCTGGGAGGGGGAGGTTGCAGTGAGCTGAGATTACACCACTGCACTCCAGCCCGGGTGACAGAGTGAGACTCAGGTCTCAAAATAAAAAACAAAAAACAAATGCAAAACTATATATATACAAACCTTTTCAAGGTATGTAGTTACATTCCTAATTGACCAAGTTTAGTGTTTTTTCTTTTTCCTCAGTCCTTGGAGAAAAAATCATTCACTTTTACTAGAAGGTCATTGGTTACTGTCTTTTGATAGAAAGGATGCAAATACAAACCAGATGGATGTTCTGAAGATCTGGAAGGAAGGAATATATACTATTTGTCCTAGAGATAGGACTGTTTCCAATTCTTACATTTAACATTTTTTCAATACTTATTCCATAGTGAGTTTTAGGTGATTGAGCAGTTATTATCAACCAAAACAGGTGTATGTGACTATTAAATCATTTACTCTGTAAGAATATATGTACTAGAAATTGAACGGAACTTTTCTAAGAGAGAGCTTCGTAAAATTCATATTGCTCAAGTCCCGTCATTTAAAGGTCAGTTCCCAGCTAAGAAACCTCTAATTATTCAATCTGTCAGCCCTGCGGCTACCCTCTGGTGTCGGTCCACAGTGACAAGCCTGAATTGTTTAAGAGAGAGAGGCAGATTCTTGACCTACATAGCTAATGAGCATTGCAAATACTGTAATTTTCCTGGTTTTGAACCTCGAAATCTACTTATGTGCTGACTATTCTTTTTCTTCCAGATTATATCTTTCTTTTTTCTGGCACAAAGCCATCTGTGCACTTTTAGAGAAGTCACAGCTCCTTATCTGCTTGCCAACATTTCCTTCCTCTCACTGCTAGTTTGAATAGTAGAAATTTGAATTTGTTGGGACATGGTGTTTCCTTGGGATTAAATATGCATCTAGACCCCATGGCTCTGCATCTAACTTAAAACAGTTTTCTGTCCTCTGTTGAAATAGCAGCATTTGGACATGCAAGGTTTGCTTGTCTGTCCTTTCCTGTCTGAGGTTGGTTGATCCTTTCTTTCATCCCCCAGACCATCAGGCCTTCGGACATCGCCACTGTCCGCACGTTGGGCCGTCCCCCTCATCTCATCATGCGGATCATGGATTGCGTACTGCTGCTGTTTCAAAGGAAAGTCAATGCTGTCAAAATTGACCTGGAAAAAAGCTGTACCATGCCCTCCTGGCAGGAATCCTTAAAACTGATGACTGCAGGGAACTTTTTACAAAACTTACAGGTTGGTAGTTCAGTGGTGATGGGCTAAGAGGGAACTCATTCTTCACTGGCATAGGAGTCCTTTTGGTATAGTAAGTTTCTAAAGAAAGAATTCACTCTACATACATGTTTTTTTCAGAGTAAAACTTTCTGTTTTGAATATAAAACATTATTAGCATTAGAGTTTTTCCTGACAGATTTTAGTTGTATTAAGGCATCATCAGTGTTACGTATACTTCAATAAAAGTTAAAAAAATCATTTTAAGAAGACAATAAGTGTGTGTTTATATTATATTCACATGAATACAAATATATACAAGTGTTTGTATTTTGCATTTCTCAGTAGTAATTTTTTAGTGTTAATTTACAGCTTTTTAAATTTTATGAGATAGAACTTAACATGAATAAATGCACAAATTTTAAATGTATAGCTTGATGAATATTTACATATGTATATACCTATTTGTGAACACTGGAAGAAAAGCACATATTTTCAGGCCCCAGAAATCTCTCTCGTGCCCCAACCAAGTCAATAACTTTCCTTAAGATAATTGTATCCTTACCTTTATCCAGATAGTTCGCTTTGCCTGTTTTGAAATTTGCATATATGAAATAATATTGTATGAACGCTTTTGTTTTGACCTCTTTCATTCAACATGTCTGTGAAATTCATTCTTTTTGTTGCAAATAACAGTCTTTCCTTTTTCATTATTATATAGTTTCCCAGTATATAAATGTGCTGTAGTGTGTGTGAGAAATGTCTAACAACTGATTCTTAAGGGAGAAAGGAAAAAAAAAAAAGCAAAAAAAAAGCTCTGATTTGAAGTCTTGCCATGGTGTAAGCACTCCCATGATGGCTATTTTAAGCTGCCAAAATGATGTTGCTGAATCTAGAGTTGAGAAGAGGTGCATGGTAGTATGCCATTGTGTAGCGTTTCCACCATATATATACAATAGTTGTAAATGACCTCAAAAGCACAGATGATAGTAAAATTTAGTCTCAGAATTAGCAAGTTATGAGCTTTGACTATAACCTTTGCTTGAAATATTGTTTATTTAATTGTAAGCTTATATATTTTAATTTTTCATAATGACTGAGTCTAACAAGTCTGCAGAATTCCTGGAAATTTAACAATCATTTCTTCCAAGCCTGTTTGAACCAGCACCAGTGTGAAACACTGTAATATGCTTCATTTTGTTTGTCCCTGTACTGTTGATGAATTTTGGGGTTAGTATTAATTTATGGCTATTATAAATCAAGCTGCTGTGAATATTGGTCATTTGGTGGCTCTAGCTGTGCATTCCTGTTGGTTTCATGCTCAGGAGTGGAATTTCTGGGCCTTTGGTTATACACATTTAATCAGCTTTGGTAGGTAGTGCTGAAGAGTTTTCAAAAATGGTGTGTCAATATATATACCCACCAGCAGTGTATGAGTTGCTCAACATCCTCACTGTTTTCTACTTTTAGC